TAGAATTTACTGTATTGCAGAGGGTAAACTTTATTTTAGAATTTACTGTATTGCAGAGGGTAAACTTTATTTTAGAGTTTTAACTTTATTGCAGAGGGTAAACTTCATATCAGAGTTTTTACTGTATTGCAGAGGGTTAACTTTATTTCAGATTTTTTACTTTATTGCAGAGGTTTAGCTCTATTGCAAAGGTTTAACTCTATTTCAAAGTTTTTACTGTTTTGCAACGGTTTAACTTTATTACAGAGGTTTCACTTTATTTCAGAGGCTTTATTGTATGGCAATGTTTTAATATTATTTAGGATTTTATACATGTTAAAGAATTTATTGCACCACTTTAATTTTAACTTTGACTTTCAGAGTTTCACTTAAAAAAATCTTATTTAAATGGTTTTTTCTAAAATTCAGAGTTGTATCTTTATTTAATAAGTTTACCTGTATTGCAGAGGTTTAACTTCATTTCAGATTTCAGAGGTTTAACAATATTTTAGAGTTTTAACTATATAGCAGAGGTTTAATAAAGGGGGATTACCTTTATTTAAAAGTTTAAAACTGGCTTAACATATATTGTTTGTTTTTTTAAATGTACTGCAATGGAATATAAAACAAAACTAACACGACTCAGAATGAATTATTTTTATATTCATCCCCAGCAAAAGGCGCGTTCACAGGATTTTAGCCAGGGGGGGGGGCAAGATTTCGCGCGAAGCGCGGAAATTTTGCCCCCCCCCTGGAATTGTTTTGTTCAAAAAGTCAATTAACACCATAAAAATACACCAAAAAGACTACATTTTTGATTGTTACTAAACTTATTGAGTCTAAAATTCATACTAAAATTTAATCCTTTGCTCGAAAAACTAACATTAACCTTTTAACTTTATAAATTTATAAATTTATCACTTAACTCCATCACAGGTAACTAAATCAATGATCACAGCATCATTAAAAAATCATATATAAACGAAATATCTTCTGAAATTTGTAGATAGAATTTTACTCCATCTACATATTCATAAACTCTTTTAAGCTTCAATTTTCTTGGATTTGCTTGCACAAACATTTCAATATTTTCTCAGAAGTGAGCCATAAGTGCAAGATCGTTAGGTCTGCTCTCCGTCATAGTACATCTTGTGTAGTGAAGTATTCTCTTTAGAAGGCTAAAACTTTTCTTACCTTCATTCGATGTTATTGTCATCATTGCATAAAGGGGAACTTGAAATTATCTCTTTATGGAAATAAAGGAATTGAGTCTTTGCCACAAACTCTGATTTTCTAATCACTATATCTTTGGAACCAAATGTTGTAGACATAGATAAATAAATAAACATAGATAGCTTATGTACGCAAAATCACCAAGAATTTTACAGTCCGCGAACTCATACTTCTAGGGGTCAAAGTGTACTTCAATGATAAGTGGGGTGGTTTGGTGTTTTAATGGATTTCATAATTATAAAACCACTCAGGAGTGAATTTTATTTAGAGAATATGAAATTATGGGGGAGGGGGTGAGGTAGAACATTTAAGGGTCATAGCTCAATTATTTTTAAGTTCTGAGGTATTTTTGATTTTTCCTTGAGAACTCCGGCTCTGTGTCAGGTTGATTTTTTCAAAAATGAGATACCAATTTGATAAAATTTTTTGATGTCTCCATAGAGTTTTTTGCCAAAAACTCAAATTCATGTCGTTTTAAATATCAAAGACCATCAAGTTGTAAAGATATACGGCTTAAAAATCAGTCAAAGTGGCAAAGTTTCATAAATTATAAAAACAGTCTATAAACCTAGATTTAAAAACTTTGTTTATAATGACATCAAACTTTTATTGATAAAAAAATTTAGCTTCTACAATCACAATCACTGGTTTTGAAAAAGAATAATCTTGCTAAGCAAACGATCGGAGAGCTGGAAGATATTTATCTCTACAATCCGAATATTTTAACTTTTTTATAACTCTTTGAAACAACTCCTCCAGAATTTTACTTGCTGAACTGTGAAGAAGGTTTATAGTTTCCTCTGGTAAAGAGAACTTGTCTTTTATTTTGACAATCACAGATTCTAGACTGCAAATTTTTCGTCGAGTTTTTTTTTGAGCTTTGAGGGACTAACTCTGATTTTGGAACTTTTTCCCTTTGCTCGTGTTTCCGTCATACATTTTCTTTAGCTTTTGAATAGCTGGGACGGCATAACTATATTCGTTCAGAACAGTTTCCAGGGAGCAGTTCTTAACAGCTCCGATAATGTTAAAAATTGAGGGAACAGCAGACTTTGACAACTTTTTCCCATTCACTTTTATATAACTAGGAAAATGTTCGTTGCAGATAACATTCGGATTGGGTCTTTTCCAATCTATTAGGTTTAACCATTCCTCCTGAATAGAGTGTAAAATAACTCCGGGAATGGAACTTTTTGAACAACAATATTTCACTGAGCAATATACCATATTGACGAGAACTGAAGAAGGAAATAAGAAGGACTAAACTAACTTAACTACATACAGGGTGTCCCACGAAAACATGACAATATGCAGGACCACTTGAATGTCGTCTTGATTTTTGATATAATTTGCTGCGTTTATTTCTCAACCTAATTATAGAAGTAAATTTCTAGAGATAATAATCACAAAATTCCCCTTGTCCTGCAATTTCCAAAATGTGGTCTGAGGGGGCAAGAGGACTACTGCCCCCCCCCCTTTGTACGCCACTGCCCAGCAATTATTTTATAAACATGGATATTCAAGGTTAAACGTTTCTTGTTATACACTTCATTAAAAAGTAACTCGAATGAATAAAAATGGGAGAACAAAGTTAAATTCATTTATCTTAAACAAATGCAAAGCATAAATTTCACAGTTGCAACCCTAGAGAGTTGAAACCGTGAAAGTAATATAGATTATGCCCCCCCCCCCCACCTCCTCCACAGTGGTTTAAAAAGTAGATTTCATTTCATGGACATCAGAACATAATCAGATAATTTGCAAAACTAAAAAGTGCTATCCATAATTCGCAATCTTAAAAAAAGTTGAATTTGCTTTTTCTTTGAAGGTGATAACTTTGAATTAGAATCAACACTTTTTATTTACTGTTTGTGCCTCCATATCAGAACAAATGGCTCAACAAAATACAAAAATAAAATTTTTTTTTTAATAAGTTATCTCTTAGTTAAAGGTCATGACAATTTTTTTTTTTTGACAGTTTTAAGGTTTGTAATTTTCACGCCAAAATTTTACTTTTTGCTTAAATTTTAAATTTTTTTTATTGGTAAATATTTCCTATACCGGAGCAGTGCTCAAGCTGAACTAACCCATGGAAAGCTAACATCTTCAAGATTTCAAACCATATATGATTTGGTATGAGCACTTCTTTGGTTTTTGAGTCAAAAATAAACATTAGTATGCTTCTTTAAAAAAATCAAAAATAGCAACAGTTTACTAGAACTTTTAAAGTAACGTCTTATAACTTTGTTTCTAAAACAGCTTTCCACACAATTTTTTTCAGTTCTTAATCGTCCTATAATTCACATATCTGCAGCAACAGTTTAAAGCAAATCTTTGTTTTTCTATGTCCACGGTTAAAGCCACTGTGCCCTCCCTCCCCCTCAGTCATTCAACCAACTTTATCCCCCTCATCCATCATTTAACCAACTTAGACTTGGTCAAAGGATCTATTTAAACTTTATCACGGGAGACTGAATACAACCTAGAGCTTAAAACATACACCCAGGGACAAAGTTTTAAGTTTAGTGAAAAGTAGTTGAACTACGCAGAATAAATTGAACCACTTCTGTTAAACTTTAACCAGGGCACAAAAAGAAGTGGTTGAACCTAGTCAACTAGGTAAACTACTTCTTGCTACACAATATATGTAGACCTTAGCTGTAGAGTAAAGGGATGAATTCAATATCAACCAATAAAAAAGGCTTGACATACAGGGTGTCCCACGAAACATGACAGTATGCAGGACGACTTGAATAAAAAGTGTGACACTAATATTTCAATGATAAGTTTTTATACTTTTTTTTGGTTTTGATTGTGGTTTCACTTCATCATCTCGAACTTTGCGAGATATGGTGACTCAGACTGAAAAGCTCTGACCATACTATTACAAGTATGCAGAGATTTTCAAAATCTCACCAAACTGGGTTTTAAATGAAGATGAACTAAAAAAAAGTATTAAGTAGGCAGTCGAGCAGTATGCTTTAAGACTCGGCAGTTTGATGAAAGTGTCTAATGTAAGGCTAAAGGCATCGTCCATATTTTTGGGAAAGGTCAGAAAATGTTAATTTCCACTCTTCTGTCAGGACTAGGGTTGAGATTCAAATTGATATTTCTGAGTTAAGGTATATCAATACTTCAAAATACGAAAAAGGTAAGTGTGCATGAAAACGTAGGTGAGCATGTTTTACTAAAGTAAAAAAGGTAAGTTTGCATGTTTTAATATAAAAGAAAAAGGTAAGTGAGCATGTTGTTAAGTTAAAAAAGGTAAGTGTGCATGTATTAATGTAAAAGAAAAAGGTGAGTTTGTCCTGTGCATGTTGTCAGTACAAAATAATTAAGTTAATATCAATATTGATCTATACTGAAAAGATCAATATAAGGAGCGTGTAAGAATGAATATTCTTCAACTAGTGTAAGAATTTCCATTCTTTAATGCTTGAAGCGTGTAAGAATATACATTCTTTCACGCTCTGACCGTGTAATAATTTCCATTCTTACACGGTCTGAGCGTTAAAGAATGAAAATTCTACACATACAGTGTAAAAATAAGCATTCTTAAACGCAAGGAAGCGAACAATATTAAAATTGTTCCTCCTGAACCGTGTAATAATGGGAATTCTTACACGATAGGTTTACTACTATGGAACCGAACAGATATGATATAATGGTAAATACTGAAGTCTACATTCTAGTATAGGAACACCGTCTTAAAAGAATTTGAGCAGAAGAGATAAAAAACATTCTATCTTACATTCTTTATATATTATATTTTTTAAAATACAGTTTAGTAAAACAATACAATCCTTATATTTCAATCTAGAAAAACATATTTACTAAATGTATAAACTATAAAATTTAATAAATATATGTCATGCATGGCACAAGCTCAGCAGGTAATAATAATAAGCAATAAAGCGAATAAGATCTGAAAGCTTCTAGAAAGAATTCTTTTTAAAAATAAATATTCGAAATTAGCATAAATCGAACTGTAGAGAAACAATATTTGAAATAATTCCATTTTTTATTATCAATTTTCACATTTCCATTAAATAATAACGTTATAATATAAATAAACCTCTATTTGAATTGAGAAACTATGTTCAGACATCTTTCTACTAGTATAAGATGTTTTTATAAACAGCACACGAAAAGATGTAATTATTTTGTGCGACTGTCTTAAAATTCATGAACACATTTATAAATGGTCAAACCAATAGATATTTTTAAAAATTTAATGAATGATCACAAAGATTAAATCTTTGACAAAGTGTTATTAAAATGTTTGTTTTTAAAGCTGTTTATTCATAAGTTCTGAGCCCATCATATTAACAAGACCTGCGGCCCTTACTTTTTTTGGAGGGATTTCCCTTAAAATTGAGATTTAGGGCTTAAGGGGGGGGGGGGGAAGTGAAATAACTCACAAATTGAAATTCCATATTTTATTCCTTCCATCCGCCTTTACACAAAATGTTAACATGTTCTATTCCCAGTATATGAGATATAGTTTATATCTAGTTCTATTATTCCCAGTATATGAGATATAATTTATATCTAGTTTTATTCCCAGTATATGAGATATAGTTTATATCTAGTTCTATTATTCCCAGTATATGAGATATAATTTATATCTAGTTTTATTCCCAGTATATGAGATAAAGTTTATTTCTAGTTCTATTATTCCCAGTATATGAGATATAGTTTATATCTAGCTATATTCACAGTATATGAGATATAGTTTATATCTGGTTCTATTATTCCCAGTATATGAGATATAGTTTATATCTTGTTCAGGTTCTATAAATCCAGTATATGAGATATAGTTTATATCTAGATCTGTTCCCACTATTTCCATTTTTATTTACAAGGATATATGCCATTTCCTGTAAGCTAATGAATTACAATTGCATGTCTTTTAATTTGGTAAAAGTCTATTTTTACTCTCAGTAGATGAAATATAAGAGATCTGGATCTATTCCCAATTTATGAGATAAATTTGGGATTTGGCTCTATTCCCCATTCTCGGAGAAATATTCCCATTGGAGTCCTCTTTGCTACACCAAGTACATCTGCTATATTGGCTGCCTAAATATAACAATGAAATAATAAGGATATTTCTATTTTTTAAAATGGAACACTGACCTTAAACAATAAACACTAATTTTAATTCTTATATTTTTAATTCTATCGTAAACCTTTGAAATTCTAACGATGAATTCTGTAGATCTAACAAATACAGTTTGAAATGTCAAAGATTATGAATTCTGTTGGATCTAACAGATACAGTTTGAAATGTCAAAGATTATGAATTCTGTAGATCTAACAAATACAGTTTGAAATGTCAAAGATTTAACATCATGAGTAAAGATATATGAACTAGAAAGATAAGGTTTGAAGAATTGTTACGTTTCTTTGAAAAGGAAATTTAAGGATTATTAAGGATTAAAAGATTTTAATAAAAATGAACGATTGTTTACCTTGTTCTTGAGATTTCTAAGTCTAAGTGAAGAATGAAGGATGATAAACATGACGGGTAAAGCTACACCAAACATGAATACAGACACACATCCAATCTTGTAAACAAAATACATAATAAAAAGGGATACAATATACCCGTCACACAATTACAACATAAAACCACAAAATTACTCTGATCAATATAAATCTTGAACTCAGACACAAAACGGATATAAATCTTTAGAAATTAACCCAACCAATTAATTTAACATAAATCAAAAAACATAAACATTAACGACACAATATCGCAAAATGATACATAAACATTAAACAATTTACACAGCAACACTTTTGATCAAATCATAAAAACCAATAAAACTTGAAACAAATCCAGGCTAATACATTGAAAATAAATAAAATCTGTTACTTATAGCCATCCAACCTTTGATTTGTAAACATTTGAAAAATTGATCAAACAAACAAAAAAATGACAAAAAAGAGAAATACCTCACTAGTCTAAAAGTCGCAAAATTAAAATTCAAGTAAAAAGAATGTTCAAATTAAGCTAAGAAACCTGTAAAATGAAGTAGTAACCGATAAACAGGCTGCCTAAAATAAAGTTTTTATCAAAAACATAAAATTATTATCATTATTGTATTTAAGGATTGTTTCACGCAGAGTATAGATTTATATATGTGTGTAATACTATGCTTGGTCATCACAAGGTTTTTTGTTTAAATCATAATCATTTAAGGAGGTCAATTTTTCGAACTCCTCTAAACATATATTAAAGTCACGGCGCTTTCATATTAAAGTTGCGGCACTTTTAATCACTGAAAACTCTCCAGTGTCCATTAGTAATTTTTTAAAAATTATTTAATCTAGGACCAAACAACTAGTTTTTTAAGGTCTGACCAATTTTTATAAAAAAAAAAGTTTTTGCATTTTAATAAGAATAATTTTTTATGGATATTCACGATTTCCACACAAACATACAACCAAAACTAACCATTTTTTAAAAAAGTGAAAATATTTTTTTATGATAATGTTTTCTTGCAAAGTTTTTTTTCTCGGTTGCATTAATTAAACGGATTTGCACTTAAAATGCAATGAAAAAATACCATATGGTCCCACCCTTATATAAAATGTTGTGCATATGTCAATTAAAACAAAATACATACATATGATTTTGCACGAACTTAGTATCATTACATTTTTTTTCAATACGTAAAATATAAAAAACATCATTAAACCTATCAATATATATCAAAGGTTGACTCATGTATGTATTAAAATGGAAAGAATGTTAATGCATTTAAGTGAGATCTATTGGGCAAATTGTGAACTAAATACTGACCCATCATGACGATGAAAGGGTGGTTCTGTTTAAACTCTGCAACTTGGGCATTATTAGAACTGCTGTAGTACATCAGTCCAAACACTAAAATACGTTATCAAACAGAAATGAAAAAGTTCATGTTTTTAAATTTTCAAACAAGCATAAGATAAGTATTTTTAAGCAATTTATATCAGTAATTCAATGGCGATAAAAATTAATATTTCATTATTTATGATCCAACAACAATCTAAAAATGATTTGAAAGCAATCTTATTCGGTGAAAATGTTAAACAGTAAAAAACGATATTTCTAGTAATTTTTTAGACGATTAATATCTAAATAATTTTTATTGATTTACAAAATATCCTACCTAGACCCATGGTAATAATACCATAAAGCATGTGGTGTGGGTTCCCTATGGTGACAAGAAGGAAGATGACCAGGGCTGAGAGGATGTAGTTCGTCTGGTTCAAATATCAAGATAAAAACTCATATCAAAACATGAGTTTTGGGAATGGGATGGCTAGAGGCTCCCGACACGGATCAGTGCTGTGGTTCAATTCTTACCAGTGTTTTTTTATCCGCCTTTAGGCTTTTATTTTCTTAGCTTTGATTGAAAAGCTACTTAAAACAGTGAGAACTCAACTGTGGAATATGAAAACGACATTTTGCAATAGTATGCGTATTTGTTGTTGTTGTAAAGCAGTCCGTGCAAACTGCACAATTTCTGTTTTATGTATTGTTCACTGGACTATTTAAAGTCATTATTTAAGTTGTCTTCATATTCTTCAATTTTATATTCTTCTGTATGTCCACCAAGATTTCAGCGTAGCGACCAAGTTTGAACCGTTCACAAAAAAATAAATTTTTATCTTGAAATATCGAAAAACTAACCATTAATTGTAGAAATGGGTTCCAGGCATAGATAAGGAGAAGAAATATAAAACTTATTTGTGTTATCATATTGATTCTTCTATCTACAGTCTACACATTTGGCTTGTCTGACTGTTTTCTTATCTCCAAGAACGTCTAATCGCCAGAACCGACCAGATCGTATGTTGCATCAAAAACTTCTATTAAAAAGTTTTATCAATGAACAAAAAAACTTGGTGGCTTGGGAACAAACATTTTGAGGATAAACTTCTTACTAGAAAAAGCAGCGTATACCACAAAAGTTCAGAAATTGGTATTTTTTACGTTAAGACTCCTTTTTTAACGCGATTTCTTGATATTTTCCTGATAGTACAACAGGTTATTCACAATCCGATTAAACCATCTGTCAATATTTTGTAAATCTGGAACCTGGAACCTAAATATTATAACTTTAGTACTTTGTTGGAACCTGCTTAATGCAGATCTTACGCCTGGAACCTTAATATGTAAACTCAGTATTTTGTTGGAACCTATTATATGCAGATCTAATGTCTGGAACCTAAATACATGAAATAAGTATTTTGTTGGAACCTGCATAATGCAGATATTGTGCCTGGAACCTTAAAATAACAACAGAATTTTGTTAGAACCTGTTATATGCCAATCTAACGTCTGGAACCTAAATAAATAAAATAAGTATTTTGTTGGAACTTGCATATTGCAGATATTGTGCCTGGAACCTAAAAATCAGTATTTTGTTGGAATCTGTGTTATGCAATTCTGACGCCAGGAATCGAAATACAGGGTGAGTCAAAAAAAAGTGTGATTTGCAGCGCCTGGTGCGAAATTGTACCTTTTCTTGTGCAACTCTCCTGTATGGTGTTTTTCAATATTTTTTGAAAATTTGTAATTTTTTTTTGTACTGCAATAGCCCAAAAAAATCCGCGATTTTTTTTCTTCAGTTCAGAAAAACAAAAATGTGTAAATAGATTGTTTCTATCGAAATATAGAATATACTAAGACATAGAATATACTAAGAAGAAAGGAACTAGAGAATTTAAACAACCTTGTCTTAAAAATCAGACCAGCACTAAAAATTGCGAATTTTCTTATTACAATTTTGCGAATTTTTTGTGATTCTTTGATTCAATCATTAAAAATTTTTAGATTTCGATAGAAATAATTTAAATACACATTTTTGCTTTTCTGAACTTTTTTGAGAGAAAAAAAGGTTTGCGGATTTTCTTTTGGGCCATTGGAGTATAAAAAAAATTACAAATTTTCAAAAAATATTGAAAAAACACCATGCAGGAGAGTTGCACAAAAAAGGTACAATTTTGCACCAGGCGCCGCAAATCACACTTTTTTTACTCACCCAGTACATAAAATCAGTATTTTGCAGGAACCTGCATAATGAAGATCTAACGTCTGGAACCTAAATACATAAAATCAGTATTTTGTTAGAACCTGCATAGTGCAAATATTGTGCATGGAACCTAAAAATAACATCAGTATTTTGTTGGAACCTATTATAGGCAGATCTAATGCCTGGAACCTTAAAATATAAAATCAGTATTTTGTTGGAACCTGCATAATGCAAATCTTGTGCCTGTAACCTAAAAATAACATCAGAATTTTTGTTGGAACATGATTACTGCAGATCCTACGCCTGAAAGATATTTTTCCCGAAAACTATGAAAATCTTAGACATTATTCACTTTTAAAAGTTTAAATGTTTGAGAAAACGTTCTGTTATTAGTATTATCGTAATAATCTGATGAGAATTTGACTTGGCAGTATTATATTTACCTGGATTCTCCTAGGATAAAGTCGTCTAAGGTTCTCAATGGCGCAACTTGAATATCCATTTTAGAATCTTTATTCATTTATCTTTTCTTTGGTCTGAAAATATGGATATTGAATTGTGAATATGGATCACGTGTGTAGATTGAGAATAATTCTGGTTTTACTAAGAAGCTGAAGAATTCTGCCTACTCTAGTTTTCAACTATCCTAGTAACAAGAAATATCGACTGAAATCAGCTGATCCTCTGTCCGTGAGCTAGACATAGTCCGGACACTAAATTCGGTCCGTCCTATCTTCTAGAGAAAGCTTCGAGTTACTACTAAATCTATCCCTGATACCACAAAATATAATTACAAGAATTTAGGGTTTCAGAAACCATATGAAAAGCGAGCAGTAGCTGAACCTCGCATAATGGCGGTTCAATTTAACGGAATTTAGTCTTCGTAGTTCAACTACTTCTCCTCTTCATTAAATCTAGTTTCCCTGTTATGCCAAATCTTATTAATCAGTCAATCTGCTAATGGAATTTGTCTGTTAAATAAACATCTAATTGTAGGTATCTGTCTGCTACAAAAAAGCTGTCCACAAAAAGAATACGGTTTAATTAACTAGACCAAGGGTGTAAATTCTACTGTATAGGTGAAGACGATTCGGTAAACCCTTCGGATGATCCTAGATGATTTAAGACCTGAAGATTGAAGATAAAAGCAAGAATCAATCTGATTATATTTGATTTTGCTGAATTGTTAAAGTAAATATTTACTCAAAAAATCTTCAGAACTATTTAAATGAAAATTCATTCTTAAAAAACTTAAATGTAAAACTTTTAAGTTTACTGTCTAAAAATTATAAACATTTTATATTCAGAACTATGAATTTTATATGGATTTTATCTAAATGATACTTAGCCAATATTTAAACAATATTTATCCTATATTTAAAAAAAAAAAAAAAAAAAACTTTCATTAAAGAAAATATTAATTTCTGAAATCTTTTCAGAAGGAATGAGAAAGTTTAAAGCGCGTAGTTGGACTATACAAGTATGTGAAGGTTGTGACCCTTCGTACCTGGAATATATATAGGTATGAGTTTATAAAATGTAAAAATTGTACATTTGTAAAAAATGCATTTAAAAAGATTTTAATACAAACCCTTTTTAATAGACTTAAGTAGAGGCTGTGTTTCTGCCGAAACTTGAGTGAACGTCGAAGTTTCTCTCGACAAAGATTAAATAGGTATTAAATCTAAAAATGTATTTTCTAATTATGCATTTAAAAAGAAAAACACACTACGGTTTTCTATAAGCTAACTTTTATAGAAAAACTGAAACCAGTGCTGAGGCAGTGCTGGAACCCTACCCTTTAGTACAGTGTAAACTGCTGTACTAAAACTGGACCTTGTCAAGTCTTCAAGTCCTGAAAGGTAGTTTAATTTCGCATAATAAAAACACTGAACAATTTGTGAAATTTAATGTTATTGAACAATTCAATAGTAAATAAATAACGTTGTTATTTAATTAGAACTCTTGGTGTGGAGTTCAAGATCTCTGTAGGTCGATCTAAACTAAAATGGTCCTACAGGTGATTAAAAAATTGTTTCTGAAAATGTTAAAAGAAATAATTAAAAAATGTTTGTAAACGATTTATATAAATATTTTTGTAATCAATTAATCAATAATTCGTTTAGACATTATTGATCGATTGACGTACGCAAGCATGGAACTGTGAACAGTGCTCTCATGTAAATGGATACTCACCGTAATGTAAGTTTTTATTTTTGTATTCTTTCATAAAAACTATATTGTCCTAAAAAGTCCAACCTATAAAATCTAAAAAGCCGCGCTATAAAAATTGCATTTTTCACACTTGATTGTATATATTTTGTATTTTTATAAATTATTTTATATTTCAGTTTTCACCTGTTTTTGGATTGCTGTCTATAAATAAATTCTAAACTGACAGGAGTCTTTAATCCGAGTGATAAAGAGGAAGCTTTGCTTATAGCATTCCATTATAAACTAAATCTTCAGGGTACATTGATTGTGCCCGTTCGTAAAGTGGGAGCACGAATGAGTATAAAATAAACCGAACGAACCAGCTTTGGCTGGAAATCACAGTGAAAAATTACGAGTCGCAACTATACTCGTAAACCCAGGACTAAAGTAAACTACAGCCTGGAAGACTTACAACCTCAGCTACAACACCACGGCGGACTTCATCAACTTACAGTCCCCCTCCGTTTTGTCAACTTACGACGGAGTAGATCTCTGGCCCAATAGAGATTAGTAGCTGTATAAATGTTGTAATGTAATAATTAAGTCTTGCTACTCAATCTCAATCTTTTACTGAATAAATACTGCGTTGTGTTTTATTCTTTTCAGATCACACAAATTGTGTGAGTGGAGATCTGAGTTGATGACAGATCATTCTACACCTTCAAGCGATCCTGTTAGCGATCTCTCTGACGATCTATGCCGTAGTCCCTTATATGGATACTCTGATGGAAACCCTGTTACCAAAGACTATATCGCAGAGTTATTTTCTACTCCATCAGCTCCTATTTTTACTCCAAGGACTAGATCACAGAAGGTTGAATTGGTCTCGGGATTAGATTTAAACCACAGAGATCGTCGTCATAGTTCTACAGATAATAATTTACTCCTTGATGCAGAAGGTTCTAGCTCAGGTTCTAATACTAGTGTGGTAACATGTTACACACCCTCTAGCAGCGTAGATACTTGGGATTATGATGGACTAAACCTGGTAGGAGATGAACCTGATTATACTGGTTCTAGTAAAAGATGTCTCTCCAGTAGTACTTTAATACAGGAGACAGCATTTGTTCCTCCTCCGATAAATTTCGGTGAAATTGACGGAGACGATATTACATTTACCACTATAGTTCCTTCTCATCAAAGTTCTCCGATATCTAACCGTATATCTCCGATCTCTCGTCCTACCAGTAGAATGGAGAGTGCGGAAATTAAGTCCCAGTATGTATCCATCCTCACTGCCAAAGCTATGGCGGAGGAAGAAGATCTTGACACTGTTGATCTTCTGACCCTTCCTGGTGATTATGTAAAGGATCTTGTGAAACAATCTGAGGATTGGAAAAGGGAATTAAGAAAGTGTGTTGCATTTCTAGAACTGAATGACTCCGAAAATTTCTCCGGTAACAAGAAGGAAGAAATTTTGAAAACGAAGACGACTTTCGTAAACTTTGTTAAACGGGGTTTATTATTTCTCAAGGATAAGGAGAATACTCAAGAAACTTTAAATGTATCTCTTACTCAGGCTAAACAGAGTGAGTTATTAGTTAAAGAAACCCGCGTTGCTAACAGGAAGGATAAACTTGTTAACAACATTCAGTCCTTAATTGATGATTTCGGTAAACTTAATGTAACTGTTCCTGAAACTGACCAGCAGGCGACTAAACTGTTGGATAAGTTTTCTGATATCAAACTTCAAGCAGATGACGTTATCAAGGATGCAAAGGATCTCAGCAAGGATGCTACTGATATTAATTCAACTGATCAAGCTGTTCTTATCGATGATATGGTTCAGCAGCTCAAGGAAGCCTCTATTGAAGCTAAGGAAAATCTGATCGCTATTAAGGATAAATTCGGTCTAGTTCCGTCCTCGGGAATAAAATCAGGATCCAGTGATGCTAAGAAACCTATGTTCTCTGGTGATTCATCTAAAGAAGATCAGCTAGATTTCTACACTTTCCAGGATGATTTCTGGAAGTATATTGGAACTAGAACAGCTTCATCTGCAGAACAATTAAGGATTCTAACCCAGGATTGTTTAACTGGTCGCCCTAAAACCTCTTGTAAAAATCTCAAATCTGTAGATGAGGTTTTCAAATTACTCAAGAAAAGATATGGAAACCCTAAAACAATGTTTGATAATAAGCTGGAAGAAATCAAGAAGCTGGGAGCTTGTCCTTTTTCTCTTCTAAAGCAACGTGAATGGTTTGAAACCGTACATGAAAAGGTTGAGTTTCTGGTCGAATTGTGTGATAAGTTTGAACTCAACTCTCTCCTGTTTCATTCTGGAATATCTGCTGATATTCGTACTAATCTGCCCAAGGATCTACTGAAGGATATAACTGATGAACTTACTCTTCATGCGACACAAGGGTAAAAACTAAAACACATTTCAATTACATATATGTCCCTTTCTTCAAAATAAATTCTGCTTTACACAGGGTTTAAAAAAATCTTCGTTTAAACAAATTTAAATAATTTTTCCTCATTTAAGGTAGATTTTGATGCCCAAAAGTCACTTAAACTTTTCTATTTAAAATTTTGTTTTGGGGTTTAGAAAGGGAGAGAGATTTTCACAAACCTGAGTTCCTTTTCTAGCGCTGGTCTATTAGAGTCCTGGAGGAATAGTTGAGTGTTTCTTATCAGCACATCAAGCAATTCTTAAGTATCATCATTATTGGTGTAATCATTGAATTCAGCTGCTTGAAGTATCATCATCATTCAGCTGTTCTTATTATTATCATTGGTGTTAACATTACATCCAGCAATTTTCAAATATCATAATTATTGGTGTTATTATTACATTCAGCTGTTCGTATCATAATTATTGGTGTTATCATTACATTCAGCTGTTCTAAAGTATCATTATTATTGGTGTTATCATTACATTCAGCTGTTCTAAAGTATCATCATTATTGGTGTTATTATTACATTCAGCTGTTCTAAAGTATCATTATTATTGGTGTTATAATTACATTCAGCTGTTCTAAAGTATCATCATTATAGGTGTTATAATTACATTCAGCTGTTCTAAAGTATCATCATTATTGGTGTTATCATTACATTCAGCTGTTCTAAAGTATCATCATTATTGGTGTTATCATTACATTCAGCTGCTCTAAAGTATCATAATTATTGGTGTTATCATTACATTCAGCTGCTCTAAAGTATCATAATTATTGGTGTTATCATTACATTCAGCTGTTCTGAAGTACCATCATTATTGGTGTTATTATTACATTCAGCTGTTCTGAAGTATCATCATTATTGGTGTTATAATTAAATCCAGCAGTTCGTATTATTATCATTGGTGTTAACATTACATCCAGCAATTTTCAAATATTATTATTATTGGTGTTATCATTACATCAAACATCTCTGAAGTACTACCATTATTGGTATTATTACATCAGCAGTTCTTAAGTATCATTATTATTAGTGTTATCATTACATCTAGCAGTTCTCATGTATTATTATAATTGGTGTTTTTAAGTATTATCATTATCGGTGTTATCGTTCAATCAAACATTTCAAAATTATTTATTTATACTATACATCTCGAAAAATGTATAGGCACAGAATTTTTTCTGGAAATTATTAAAATTATTAGTCTTATCATCTAGCGGTTCTGGAGTATCATTATCGTTGGTGTAATCACATCCTTTAGTTCTATAAAGAGAATTATTATCAATTTGTGGAATTGTTTTCATAATTAGGATTTCTTTTTTTTCAAAGTTTATGATATATGACTTATGAGCCATCTCGACATAGTCCCAAGAAACTCAACTGTATGGGCGATATTTTTCATATTCATTTTTGGATAATGACTTAAGTAAAATCTCCCGGAAGTATATATTTTTGAAGTTTTATCCCCCCCCCCCCC